ACAGACCCCTCACATGCAGGTCACAAGCTAGGAAAAATACTGGGAGCCATTGGCAAGATTGACATGCTTTATTCAGTCACAAGCTCAACCCCCCAGTGGATCAGAGCCGTTGTCTTTTATACTAGAGTCAGATAACCAAGGAACACATGGGTGTGAATCAGATAACAACGAACACCTGGGCGCACATGTGCAGTTATACCACTCATGTATAATGTATTTACAACAGACATGCTGTGTTATGCTCAGCCGGATATGAGGTGAGGGAGTCTGACCAGTCTGTCTCCATTTTCCTCACAGCTACCGCAGAGTTTTGATCTTTGTCATATCACAGTTACCTAGAGTGGACTGTGCTGAGCTAAAGACCTGAGTTTCATATCTCATGCTGCATACAGGTTATTCCAGGCAGGCTGCTCACAAATGCTTGATGTTAGTTACAAAGTTAGGACAATGGGGATGGTTGTACCTACTCAGATATTACTTCTTATGTGGCATTTCGATAGACCAAGGGCAGTGTGTTATTGCTGTTGCTTTCTAAACATCCTCAAAATGCTTTTGCTTATCCCATCAAAATGATAAGCTACTAGACAACATGGTCGAAAAATCATTAGGTTTGGGGCCGGCCCGGTGGTGCACTGCTACAGTGCGCCGCTTGGGAGTGCGGCGGCGCTCCCGCCGAGGGTTCGGATCCCACATACAGATCGGTTCCCACTCACTGGCTGAGCGAGGTGCCGGCGCAACACCGAGGGTTGCTATCCCGTTGCCGGTCCCGGTCCAGTACGGGCGCGACACTGAGGGTTGCGATCCGTTGCCGGACACGAAAAAAAGACAAAAAGGAAAAAAAAAAAAAAAGAAAATATGCAAAGAAATAAAGGATGAAGATATGACTTCACTGTGGTTAGTACTGAATGTAAAATAGTAAAGACATAGAGACTAAAAGCCAAGGAAATCTGATTATAAAACAGTGAAGATTAATCAGTGCTGGAGAGCTAATAATCACTAATTGATAATCAATATTTGAAGGTAATTGGACAATGAAATAAGAATTGAAAAAGGTAGTTTTTATGGCAGCCTGGAACATCTCTCATTTACGAAGGTCTTTGTCAGATTTTTTTGTGGGGGGAGGCAGTGGCTGGCGGGGTATGGGGATCCAAACCCATAATCTTGGTGTTATAAGGCTGAGCTCTAATCAACTGAGCTAACCGGCCAGCCTGTCAGACGATTTTTAAGTAAATTTGCCAGGCTAGGATTTACTGACCATGTATGATGGTTGCTTGCAAAGAATAATGGAATATAAACTAAATTTACTCCTAACTTGCTAGAAATAACTCACTGGAATAGTTTCTATGTAATAAATGAAAAGCTATGAGGATGCTTTGCATGAGAATATGTTTTTCTCTCCAGTTTCATCAGTATAATTAATGAAGAGGGGGGAAAAAAAAACCCCTCTCATATAGTATATAAAGTAGCAATATAAAGAAGGCATAAGAAGACAAGGCAGGCCTTGGTGCCTGTTATTTTGAGCCACAAAAAATGCAAGGAACAGTGTTTTTAGTGTGGATTCTGGAAGTTCCATGGGCTAGTCTCATGCTAAGAGGGAGCACAAGGATGACCCACAATCTCTGTGCATGGCCTCTCACACTCCCATCACATTAGGTTATCAGTAGGCAGCATCATTATTAGTCTCCCAAATAGGATGTGAGCTCAAGAAAGGCAAGGATCTTACTACTGAAGGAACACCCATTTCTGATGACTGAATAAATGGATCCTAACTTAATACAATCATTTGGAAGGTATATGGAACTAGTACAATGAAGATTCAGTAGATGGTTGGCAGGAAGGGGACCAGAAAATGTTATTAAGACTAACACATGACATCTGATTCTGATGGTGTCTATTTTAGGCAGGCCTTGCAGCAGTGGTAAAAAGCCAAATAGCACCCAGTTCACATTCAAGTCATCTTTTCCTGTCACTTAGCCCTTCCAAAGGCAGTAACTTCAGAGATGTTCCAGGCTGCTATAAAAACTACCTTTTTCAATTCTTATTTCATTGTCCAAGTTTTAAAACTACAAGCTGATTATAAATGATGTTTTATTATCAAAAAACACTTTTGTTTTTTTATCATCAAAAAACACATGGTCTTTATAAGAAGTCAGTATTTACATGTTCCTGAGGATGATATCCAGCACTATCCATTCACTTACCAAGTATACTTATGTAAGCATGAAAACATCATTTTCCAAAGTGGGTAGGTGGTATTACTTATAACAAAATCAATGTGTTATTTCTGTTTCCTCTCACCAAAGCTCTGCTATTCTTCAGGTGGAATCCAGAATGTCTAGACCTCATAGTAAATAACCAAGACACAGTTCAAAATAGATATAATTAAGTACAAACATATGTGGTTCCACCCCTAATGAGATGGGATGGGATATCAGGAAAAGCAGAGATCACTGAGGTAGAGTAATCTGAAATGGTTTCACGGAGGGGGTAGGATTTAAGTCTGGCCTTCAAGTATGGGTAGGAGTTGGATAGATGAAGAGAAACATGGACACATTTGGGGTATGTATATTGGAAAAGGGATACAGCATAATAGAATATGAGTACAGATTTGGTTTTTAGGGGGACTGAGGGATAGAGGCAATGAGGAAACTGACACTACAGGAATAGAGGATTTGGAATACGAGATAAAAGAAAATAGAATGAAACAGGTATAATAAAGCTCTTATCTTCCAGACCAAAGGAAGATCTGAACAAGATTGGATAGTAAACAAGTCTAGGAATGGGCAAGGTCCTCTGGCCATGTGCCGAGGATGGATCAGAGCAGAGAGAGGGTTTGTGGCTGTGATTTCATCAAGGCTTACAGTGACCATGACATAAAACATTGGTGACAGTGGGAATAATCCACGCATTATCAGAAAGAGAAAAAGTGGACAGGCTATGTATTAGATTGCTAGGCTGCTATAAAAATTACCACACACTGAGAGGCTTAGAACAACAGAAATTTATTCTCTTACAGTCCTAGAAGCCAAAAGTCTGAAATCAAGGTGTCAACAGGGCCATGCTCATTCTGAAACCTGTAGAGGGGTAATATCCTGCCTTGCCTGTTCCCTTTGTTTGCCTGTGATCTTTAGGGTTCCCTGTCTCATAGATGCATCACTTCAATCCTCCATCTTCACATGGCTGTATTCCCTCTCTATGCATCTCTTCAGATTGTGTCCTTTTTATAAGGACACCAGTTGTATGACCTCATCTAAACTAATATCTGCAAAAACCCTGTTTCCAGATAAGGTCATATTCTGAGGTACTGGAGGTTAGGACTTCAACATATCTTTTGTGTGTGTGTGCTGGGGGGTGGGGGGGGGGCATGGGGGGNCACTTCCAGGCAAACAGCACCAGTGCCTCGTGGCCAGCTTGGGGACCTGAAGCATGGAGAAGGGGACTAGACCCCCTCCTCCCACAACCAGGCATGCCACACCAGCACCTTGGGGCCTGCCTAGGGACTCGAGGCAAGGAGAAGGGGGCTGGACCTCTCTCCCACAAACAGCCACACTGAGCCAGCGCCTTGGGGCCCACCCAGGGTACGGAGTCGGGGACCAGACCATCCTCCCACAAGCAGGCACAACATGCCAGCACCTCAGAGCCCACCCAGGGACCCGGGGCTTGGAGAAGGGGACCAGACCTCCCTCCCACAAACAGGCACAACATGCCAGCACCTCGGAGCCGACCCAGGGCATGGAGAAGGGGACCGGACCTCTCTCCCACAACCAGGCACACCAAGCCAGCACCTTGGGTTCCACCCAGTGACCCGAGGCATAGAGCCAGGAACCAGACCCTCCTCCTACAACAAGGCATACCACACCAGTGCCTCGGGGCCCACCCAGGGGCCTGAGGCAAGGAGAAGGGGACTGGACCTCTCTCCCACAACCAGGGACACCATGCCAGCACCTCGGGGCCCGCCCAGCCCAGAGGCATGCAGAAGGGGACTGGACCCTCCTCCCACACCAGGCACAAAACGCCAGCACCTAGGGGCCCATCTGGGTACCCGAGGTATGGAGAAGGAGACTGGACCCTCCTCTCACAACCAGGCACACTGTGCCAATACCTCGGGGCCCGCCCAGGGACCTGGGACATGGAGAAGGGGACTGGACCCCTCTCTCACAACCAGGCACATGGTGCCAGCACCTTGGGAACTGCCCAGGAACCAGAGGCATGGAGAAGGGGACAAACACACCCCACAACCAGGCA